GGGCCTTCTCGGGCGCTGCGCAGGACTCGGCCCTCGGCCCCTGGGCTCATTAGCTGGGCGCCGTCGCCGCCACCTTTACTTGTTGCCTCGTAGCCTAGAAGTGCAGCCGCGCGCTGCTGGGGTGTAATTCTCTCCTCACACAAGCCCATCTCCAGAAGCGGGGGCGCGGGGGCGGGTCTGGACCCTGCGTTTCCGCGTGAAGAGCGGCCCGCGGTCAGCACTGTTTCCTCCTATCGGCGGCTTTACCTTCGTCAGGAAAATGTAGGTTTAAGTAACTACAACATCTGACAAGTTCTTTTCAGCAGACTGAGAATCGGCCCAAATGGTGCTGCCCGGGCACTAGCCGTCCGCTCTGCCTGCAGGAGGTGGGTGGGGGCGCCGCGGGCGGGCTCTGCCCCGCGGGAGGGGGTCGAGCCCCCAGAGGGCCAGGTGGAGGCAAGGAGGGGGCGGGGCCCCCACTCACCGCGGCCGCAGCGCGCCCCCGGGGTCTTCGCGTCCCTGCGCGTCCGTGTGGACCCAGGGCGCGTCGGGTGGGCCCCAGTCCGGGTGGGTCCGGGTGGCCCTGGCGTGTCAGTGCCGCAGTGACCCTCTCCGGTCCCGGCAGCGTTGGTCGCGGGCAGCGCTTCGGCTGCAGAGGGAACACCTGAGAGTCTGGAGGTGCTGCAGCCGCCCAGCAACTTAGGTGCCAGGGTGAATTCCTGGGCCGGGCGGGGCTGCCCAAGTGGGGAGACGCAGAAGCTGCCCCGCAGGTCCTGGGAAAAGGCCTGGGAGGTGAGGGCCAGGTGAGGGTGGCGGCTCCATCCTGAAGGTCATTGTCACCATCCCTGGGGCGGGATCTGGGACCCTGTGCAGGGACAAGGCCTCTGGTCTTAGGGTCACAGCTCTGCTTTGCTTTTTTCATCACTTTGGAGAAGAAAAAGGTAGCACAGAGCTGGCAAGCCCCCTCCTCCTGCTTGTCCTCTTCGTATTATTATAAAATATACACAACATAAAATGTACCATCTTAGCCACTTTTAAGTGCACAGCCCAGTGGCATTAGGCACATTCACCACGGTCTACCCACACAATGCTTTCATCTGCCCAAACCGAACCACTGTCCCATTAAACACTCACTCACCCTCCCCCAGGCCCTGGCACCCACTGTCTACTGCCTTCATTTTCCATCCATGTCACTTCTCTGAATGGGGGGGTCACGGAGGCCCTGGGGACTGGGCCCTGTAATCACCCATCCTGGAGACTGTCAACTCTGAATCTCTGCCACATCTGTGGGTGACTTCAAGGCTAAAAATCTCATGCTCTGTGACCGATTCCCAACACACCACCAACACTTGCATCTGGATTTGGGTTTTACAAATATCTGGAAGGAACCCCTCCCCCACTCCCTTAAGGCCTGTCTGGGTGGGAGCTGTTGGATCAGTTTGTGGGTGGTGACCTGTTTTGTACCCCTTTAAACTTGAAGCTCTGTGGGGCAGGGCTGTGTCTGTCTGAGTCACCCCAGTGTCCCAGGTGTCTAGCTGAGTCACAGCACATGGACACCTGGATGCTGAATGTTTGTGAAACACGGTCACATGTTAGTAATCAGGAGAATACAAATCAAAAGCATACTGAGATCCCAGTTCACACCCACGGTGGCTACAGTCAAATGCAGACAATACCAGGTGTTGGCGGGAGGGGGTAAATCCGGAGCCTCGAAATTGCCGTGGGAATGGGAAATGGCACAGCCAGTGAGCACATAGCCTGCTGGTCCATAAAACCTCAATTCCACCTTTAGGTATCGACCCAAGAGGAATGACAAAATGTGTTGTGTCCACACAAAAACATGTACACAAATGCTTATAGCAGTATTAACAGTGGTCAAAAGGCAGAAGGAAACAACCGGGTGTCCAACAGATGAAGAAACAATGTGGTCTGTCCATACAAGGGGGTATCACTCAGTTAGAAAAGGAAGTTCTGACACTCGCTACAACACAGATGAACCTTGAAGACGTGATGCTGAGTGAAATATACCAGTCACAGGTGGGGTCAGTACTGTATGATTCCACTATATGAGGTACCTAGAATCATCAAATGCATAATGAAAGTAGACGGTGGGTGCCGGGGCTGGGGGAGAAATGGGGAGTTCGTGTTTAATGGGTGCAGAGCTTGTATGGAGAGATGAAAACATCCTGGAGGTGATGGTGGTGATGGCTGCACAACCATATGGATATACTTAATGCTACTGATGGGTGCATTTAAAAATGGTTAGGATGGTAAATATGAGGTAATGTATATTTTACTACAATGTATCTTTCTAAAAGTACATCTTCCCAGCTAACTCTCCAAACTGTAGGCTAAGAACTCCAGGATCCTTGATTCTCTCTCCCTCTCCCTTTGTGTTTTTAAATATATTTCTCAACTGTAATCTCTGGCCAAATGGGAACCTCCTCAGAAATTCTGATGACCCTGAGAACCAATCTCTACTGGAGAAATAGGATCTGTCATTTTACACCGAGCATCTGTATGGGTTTTCACCTACGCTGCCTAGTTAGGGATCAAATTCTTAGTCCTGCATCTGTGGGCAGCAAACTCATTAATATGGAAGCAAGAATCACTCAACAGAAACCCATTTTGTTAAGAACATTACATTTCAGGAACGGGTTCGGGGCGAAATCCTCTAATGCCACTGACCTTGGGAATTACAGGGTGGGAATGTTAAGGCGTGCTATGAAGCCCCAGAAAGCAAACGGATTCACTGGTGCAGGATGCTCATGGGGAAGAAAAGAGTCTGAATAAGACACATAATAGCAGAGGCAAAACAGGAGACTAAAGTTTAAATTAGAAAACTAACATTTTAATTTTGATAGATGAGACCATCATAGTGTGATGAAAGGTAAGAGGAAATCCTGTCCTGTGAAGAGTAAATGTCAGGCGACCACCTGACACCGGAGTCGATGTGATGGTCTCGTTTCTAAGGCCTTTGATCTAAGATGCTGTTGACTCTAAGAGGCACTGTTATGACTGAGAAAGGGAGAAATTCTTTCAATTAGACTAACGCGTTCAATTTTTATTCTATATTCATTAAAAGAGGTCTTTTCTAGTCACTGATGCTGGTGATGGACACGGGGTTCTTTGCTACCTCTACTTCTGCATGTTTGCAAATTCTCAAACATTCTGTAAAAGGGGCTCTTTGGGGGTGCAGATGTGGGTAACAGACTAGTATAGGTTTTTTTGCTTTTTATTTTTAAATAGTTGCAATATTTTCATAATTTTAGCTTTCCTTTTTGAACGTAATATCAACTATCTTTATTTTAAAATTTTATTTATTTTTAGTTTTTTTAGTGAGAGGAAGGAGGGGAGAGAGAGAAAAAAAGAGAGACAGACAGACATTGGGATCAGTTGCCCTGACTGGGGATTGAACCCACAGGCTGGGTATGTGCCCTGACGGGAATAGAAGCCACCACCTTTTGGTGCAGGGGAGGAGTCTCCAACCGAGTCACACTGACCAGGGCTTATCGACTATTTTTAAACTTATTATTTACAATGCAATTCTGGCTGCACTGAAAGTAAGTGGCCATTTTCCTGGAAGCAAATTATTCTGAGTCCTGAGGACTTCCTGTATTGGGTGTGGATCTTAAAACAGTGACTGCAACCTGGCTACCCCAGAGGCTTCCAAGGCTGCCCAGACTTCAGTGGGCCCTGGAGGTGCGCCCTGGTGTGGGTGCCCCCCCGCCCCACGGACCCAGAGTAGCAGGTGGCTGTGGGCTGGCCACCAATTTGCCCACATGTGCCAGGAAAACAGGGCCAGCAGCTGCCCCAGATGCAGCGCCAGAAGGGCAGCCGGTGCCCTTGCTCCGACCTCCAGAAGGGGCAGGAGGCGCTCAGCGGCCGCCTCCGCCTCCCCAGCCCTGTCCTGCTTCCTTCTGCGCTGGGTTTTTCCCGTTCAAGCCCCGGCTGTTCTCCGTCATGTCTGGTCGACACTCTGGCTGTGACAGCCCGGCGCTGGCCAGTTAACTCAGTGGTTAGAGCGTGGGCCCCCGACCCAAGGGCCCCGTGTCGCTTCGGCCCGGGGCGCGCTCAGCTGCAGCTTGATCCCCGCGGGGGCTCCCGGGGGAGGCGGCCCATCCACGTGGTTCTCTCACACCCACGCTTCTCCCTCTCCCTCTGCTCTCTGAAAAGCAGTGGAAAAAACAGCCTCCGGCAAGGATTTGAAAAAAAAATCGCGAGAACCCAGAAAAACTTGAAGCTGCCTCGGCGGAGTGACACCCCGTGTTCTTCCAGCGCCGACGCCCGTCGCCCCGCGCTCCTTGGGGCGCTGCTCTCGGCCAGGCTGTGACTGTCGTGATTGCCCACAAAGCCCACCGGGTGGGAAGCTGGCAGCCTGAGTGGGGGGGAGCCGGGGCCAGGTGTGTGCCCGCGGCCACAGGCCTTCCCTCTTGGGGTGCTTCCGCCCTGCCCTAGTTCGGGGTGCCCGGAGCGGGGCTCCTCTGCAGACAGAATTCCGGGGGCTCTGAGCGCCAGCTGCACGGGGTCAGGCCCAGGGCTGGCCGGCGTCACCGGGGCCCCGCTCCCAGCCCCCGCATCTGCGTCCCGGGCCGGGGTCGCCGGGTCAGCGGGGCTCAGAAATTCCCATTTCCTGTCGCTGTGCAGGGGCGCCGCTGGTCACCTCAGAGCCGCGGCCCGGCGGGAGCGGTCACGGCGCCTCTGACACGCGTGCTCAGGCCGGAGGACCCGCGGCGGCTGCGGGCTGCGGGCTGCGGGCTCAATCCCCAATGACTCTCTCATCATTGGTGGTTCTCTCTGTCTCTGTCTCCCTCTCCTTTCCTCTCTCTGAAATCAA